GCCAGGCCCTCCTGCAAAAATGTTTACACTCAACGATGCTTTTATGGGCAAATGGCACGACTGTGCTGTATGACTATCCAATCAGGTGATGCTGCGGCTAAATGCAAAGCTAATAGTTGTAAAATGAAGAGTCAGAGGACCACTCGGTCAATACAATGAGTAGCACCACAAGTGGTCGTCCTATGAAGACATCAGACCCAACGTATTAATGTGGAATTCCCACCTCTGGCTCAGGGCCACAAATGGAGATACGCACAATCGCTTGTTATCTTAAGTGGGGTGACGCTTTGTCCCTTTGACTTTGACGATAACGAGTGTTATTACAATTAGTTTATAGAGTTAACAAAATGTATAACATTGTGCCATGTCCTTCAGCTAGCTTTCCATCGCGAAAAAATAGGACAATTATGAATGAACAAAATAATTATACCTCTGACTTACTGTGGCCCCTGCAACAAAGATCCCCGGTATAGTCTTAACAAACTGTAGGGGCAAGTGCTGTTAGCGAGCACCTATAAAGGCCGGCACGGCACACGAGGGGGTGGGTGGCCAACACCACGCCCGACCGCCTTCGTCTCCCTAGCGGCGATGTTTACACATCGCACCAGGTACTCATTTGAGGCTGAGTCGACCTAGGGGAGGCCCAGGACCGGTTCAGATAAGCGTCATTGGTGTTCGCCGTGACCCCTGCACACCCACATTCACGAACATTCCCCCAATATTTACAAGCATGAGTACCCCAGGACTCATCCCAGGACTAATGAGTATTTAAAATCAGAGACTATAAATACAAACATCAATTGCGAACCCAAACGCGCCTTGGTTAATTGCTAATCAATCAATCCAAGGATCATCCTATCACGTATAATTGGGCGACAACAGCCAGTGATGGTGTTGCTCTGGACTGATGAATTTCCCTGGTGTCCGTCAGTGTCTGCAGGAAACCCGGACTGCCCTTCTCGTTAGGCCTCCTATAAACGCCCACGGCACGACGCTCTCTTTGTCGATGAGCCTCCTAAGCATTTCTCCACACGTGGAAGAGAGGCCACTGAGCCAAACGCGGAATAAATCACTTGGGATTCGCGCAGAAATTATCATGAAAAGTTGATGTTTTTGGCAGGCCGGCTTACCCATAAGTCGATTCAACCTGGTGGATCAAAGCTGCACATTTGTGTTAAAATATTTAGTAACTCAACGTTTAAAAAGTAAAGAAAACTATTATAACAGAAACTGTCATTGGGCCAACTTTAAATACAGAATTGTAAAGCATTCCCTTAAATTTAGCAAAAACCATGAACGTCGAATGATGGAATTTTCATATTATGGTCTACTTTACAACACAAAATAATAACTTAGTGTCATTGTATAAAACGTTATTAAGCTCATATTGTGGTGTGCTTATAAATGGCTGTTAGGATACTGAGCGGAAGCCACTTCTGTCCCAGTGTGTGTAGATACCGTCTTCCTAAGGAAGGTACATCTGCCATGAGTGGTGTTTTTATTGTTGTTGATGAAACGTGTTTAACGCACATTCCTCGTCGACTGCCGATACCTGCAATACAGCATTAACCCTGTAGTCTCGTCACATGTGCCGCTCATGAAGTGAAGCAAGTCTGCCAGTCTGGGGCACATGACACACATTTAGACATTTATGAGAGGCAATGCTTGCGCTACTTTGGTGCAGGGTAACCCATTAGGCTGCTACATTAAAGGCTACCCTCTCGTTGAGATGGGGCCGTTACGTTACAGGGCAGTGTCCTGGCAGTCTTGGTTTTAGGGGCCCTCATTGGGAGCCAACGATAGGGCCGATGGCCATCTTTGAACTGTCGTAATGTGGCCCCGAGAGACCCTTCATGGGCTCAGGGCCGCAGCTTTCACTTACAGGAGAGAGCAACGCAGCTCACAAGAAGCTAGGCCTTGCACAAATCCACTTTGGGGCTTCAGCCAGCATGCACACAGTTTGTATACAAGGAGCCCTTTGCACAAGTGCTTTATTTCTGTCAATACTTTGTTTGAAATGCACGTTTTTAAGTCTCCCTTTGTGATGCCAGAGACGTTCGAGCGGTCAGGTCATTACGAAAACACTTGCACTCAAAAGCACATCATTGCTATTTCAAGCCGTGGTTGATAATCCAAAAATAATACGTACAGTGCTAATGGTTTTCAAATACTACGTGCGTTAGGATGGATTTTAGTACCAGCTGTTACACGTTTGTTAAACGGTGCCACTGACTCTATCTCTGCCATCAGAAACGGCATGTTGGTCACTGCACTGAAGTCCGTCTGGCAATTGGTAAATAAACGACAGTGCTGGAGTATCCATCAGCGCCAATGTGTGGTGCATCGGCTTATCTCCCAGGTAGAATGGGTTGCAGTAAACAACGTTAACGTTTTTCATCCTTTCTAATGCATTTTTCTTAGGATTCTGCCTTTAAGTGTATAGCCTCCTGCTGATGCAGACTGCTTTCCCACCATGATGACGGACGCTTGTGTTGCGCCCAAAACGTCGTGATTTAATTTAGTTGTTTCATTTATTTTATTTTTTACCTACGTGACTTTACCGAACAAAAAAACAAAGAGTATGAATCCTTGCAGTGAAGAAAGCTTCAAATCTAGAATTTAAGTGTATACTTTATAGAAATGCTACCACAACTTATATTTAAAATATTCCACTGAAATTATACTAACATTGTGCCAAAAGGTTGTAAGTTCAAATCGTAGAAGCAGTTGGGTTTACTGTCCAAACATCCCTCAAATTTGATGTAAAATGAAAAGTACAACTTTCGTTGTACTAGTGCGGTAAACATTTGAAAGATATTCTGTCGGTGTCCGTAAAAAGAAAAACTGAGAACATTTGAAGGCATGTCAAACTCGAATTGTTTGATTTATGGCCCAGAAGAGTTGTCGGCGAGCATATAGAGTGACGAGGCTTTATGGAGGAAACTGCAGGCTGACGCCACTGAAGTTGCGTTCTCTTTGTTGATGGAAGCCAAGACCTACCACTATTCTGTGCGATTCATCTCAGTCACACGCGGTGGGTCGTCAATGTGCTTTTAAGTTACGTTTCAAATGAAAATATAATGACCAAAGCGCTTAGGTCCATATGAAGTCCAAGGCTTGTGTTATTGGTGATATAACACAGGAGGCTTCCAAGTCTTCTCCTGAAGTTCAAAGCAGGTGTTCGTGGGCGATTGATCAGTCCCAGAAACTGGTAGGGGCTATACAAGACACCGTTTCTTATACCACTCTCTGACATGCAAGAAAACAACACCGCATGTAGCATTATTGACACCAATAGTGCACTTGTACTTTTAAAGTTTACATTTTCAGTGTATAATTACATGTTGAGAACATCATTGCCAGGATGGATAATTGATGTAGCCTATTCATTTAGCAAGATGGTTAACAGAACCCAGCCACTAAAAAGCCGAAACATGCAGGCACTGATATTCTTGGTTCTTTTGGTAAATTCACGTATAAGGGAAATATTATGTTATATTTTTATTATTTTATTACTTCCCTTCTACGTGACTTTACCGAAAGAACCAAGAATACGAATCCCTGCTGTCAAAAAACTTTAAATCGAAAAATGCAGGGACTGGGCCAATACCGGAACTCAGCCAATGCCTTTTGTAGCAACTTGACATGGTAACATAGCTAACACAGTTGATTAATATCAACGTAGTTGCATACCTTAATCCTTTAATTGAAAATATTTTAAAGGGTCGCATGAAGTGCACAAATGGTGGTGATTTCATGAATGCAGCGCACCACTCGCTAAGCTACTTTGACATGGGGAGGCAATTCAAATTGTTTCTGAATACTTGGCCAGGTTAAAACCACAAACATTGTTTTCTCTATTCAAAGAGGCCAACAATTTGGGTGGACCGTTATTCACCCAGCGCTCATGCCACGTTAACAATCGTTCATCAAGGCCAATGGGGATTCGTGAACCCACAGCCTGAACACAGCATAATAAACACTGCTGCCTGGGAAGTGCTGGGGAATTCGATTGCTGTGTAATAGAAAAACATGGCTTTTGCTAATTGCATGGTATTATGGTTATAAATAAATACATTTTAATCTGCTGTCTGAAAACACCTATATAATACAGGGTGATTAAAACATTTTTTACCACTTATATGGGACTATCATTTTTCAAACTTCAAATCTAGAACTATAATTTTTAATGGAAGAAGAACGGCTAATACACTGTAACATGATAACAAATGTATGTTAATAACTTCAAAAAGTCAGAGTCTCCACTTGTTCGCCATCATTGTCAACACGTTGCCTGGAATCTTCTCCAGGTGGTCTCCAGAGCCTGGAGGCAGCAAATTTATTGTGGTGTTGTTGCAAATTCTCGGATGTGTTCACATTTTTTTTAGGCACCCTGTACATTTAATATAGGGAACGTATGACCGAGCTACGAGTACAATATTGGACGCTTACTTTTGTAAATGCAGTTTGAATGTGAAATTGAAACGTGTTTTTACAACACTACCTGCACTAATGTACTAAATGGCACATGACATTCAGCGCGAGGCTGATCCATGCTACAATGTTGCTGGAAAATCCGTTTAACACGTAGACTTTCGCGACCAATATCATCCAAAATACAGGGGTTTTTGGAGGGGTTAGATAGTGTAAAGATATAGACGTGTCTTTCTGGAAAATATCTTAGGGTTTCATCGCATTCAATGGAGGCACAAATATAGGACGTACTCAGTGGTTGATTTGTATTCAAGAGGTGCTGCCAGATTCCCTTCGCATTTCATATATTTCCAACGTTAGGGCTGCATGTGCATCGTTTCAAAGCACTGGCCAGAAGCAATGGGACACCCACGTAATGAAATGTGTCTGTTCATTACACTTTTACTTTTACTGTGTAAACACTGCCACCTTGTGGCAACTATATGGGCGGTCGTTGCCGATCCAATGCAGGGAGCATTTCATCATCAGCCTGTGATGATGATGATTGAATATATTGCCGCTTATCCGTGAGTGTATATTTTCAAGATCGGCGAGATTTTGTTAATTCGTATGCAGTGAACATACGTGTTGAGACGATCACTTCCATGTGCTTTAAAAGGCATCTAAAGTTAATCAACTTTGAACAAAATGACCACACTAAAAACGTCAACATCCAAAAATACGTTTAGATGACAGCGTACTGACACAGAGATATGTACTACAAGCACGAAACTTCGATGAACACAATCCAATTCCAAACCTGACTTTGCATTGCAACAATGTTTCGCTTGACAAATGTTTTATTGACAAAATACGAGTCGACATTTTGACAGCAATATTTGTAATATTATAGTGTGCAGACTTTAAAAAAACAACCATTGACAAGGTAAATTATATCTGGATTTGTAAATGCCGGTCATTACATGATTTGTTTGTAGGCACCTGCCTGTAAACATTACTTGAGTGTAAGAAAGTAAAAGTATAGAAAGCACAGAGAGCGGCTTGGGTCCCTGGTCGGGGGCTTTCTTCAGCTGCTACTCTTGTCTTTGAAGACTTGAGTTTCAAACGCCGTTGCACTCTGAATCACAAAGGGATCAATGTCATACATTTTGCTCGGATAACAAAACAGCTGTTTAAATATTAGGCAATTTGCTTCACTGTATTGCCCGTTATTAGGCAGCTTTACTACCATATTGTACTGATCAAAAATGTTCCGTATTTTATTCACCGTAGAGATATGTTCACAACATGGAGTACAGAAAGGAGAAAAAAACAATAATAAAAAAACATGGCCCAGCATATTTGCACACTCCCGATTCGTAATTGCTGTTCACAAAAAATGTTGCCGCGATAAGTTAACAGCTGCGCCAAACAGCTTCATGTGCGTACTCTATTTGGGTCATGGTTTCCTTAAAAAAAGGTGTGCAGTTAATTTGGTGAAGATTGTTTACATAACAATATCGTGTAACACAAATATGGCAAATACTGGGTGGGACGACCTCCAGTCACTATTGCATGGGTCTCATGTGTCCAGTAACGTGTGATGACCCCCACACAATGCTCAGCTACAAATACGGGGCACTGTTATAGCAAGATCCTTGGTGATGCTTAATGTCGTAAAAAAATCTATATATATTAACGGGAAATTTGTGAATGTGTGTCTGTTCGAAATGTTTAGCATACTTCCTGACAAGCAACAAACTTGAAATTTGGCATGTGGGTAGCTTCCAGACTGTACACAATGCTAAAAGTATAAAAATAGACTTTTGTATTTTTTTTTGGGGGGGGGGGGCGCAATAATGGATATATTTTGCACGACAAGTGAGCGGTGACGTCACATCTGTGATGTCACCCGCATGCGGCAGCATTACGAAGTGTGCCTGCTGACGTCACGCATCCCACCCTCCGCGTAGGCCGTGTATTAATCCAAGACAAGAATCCAAGTCTCGGGCGAAGCCGGCTAGTAAAGCTAGTATAATATATAATGGGATGTTTAAAGCTAAGATAATAAAATCAAAATTGCTGAAAAGGTGTGTTTTATGTGCGTACTTTGGCATCGGGCAGACATGGTCCAAATGCTTCCAGCAGCAAATTATCTTCCCGGACGGACTGCTCAAAGTCAGCATACGAGAGTCTGCTGTCATGGTCGTGGTCCTGAAATGTCAAGAGCACAACAAATACAACACAGGCTGAAACTATATTACATATTGATCCAGTAATCTTCAACACAGGGCACCGCTTGAGGCAAGGTTAGTAAGTACACAAGCTCTAAGCTGTGACATAGGTGGAAGTGTGTGTTATATACTCTTAGTGTACACAATAAAAAGTCAGCTGGATGGCATTGTGGCCATACGAATGGAAGTTGCCAGTGAAAATCCCAGTTGGGCACCAATCCAGCCCTCACGTCCCGAGGCGATCAAATGAGCAGCAGGTTGTGTGGAAAAAGGCCACATTGGATGTCCTCCAAGGAGATTGGTTTGAGCCGTAGCAATGTTGAATTCTCACCACTGACTCAAAGCCAGCAACTAATATGGGACATACACAATGCTTGTTTCAGCGTGGGGACACACTTGTTATGCATTTCCAGGATCGAAGAGGTACCATTTTTTTGAGAGTGATTTCAACCAGGTCTTTGATGCCTTCGTCAGGGTCCTCTTCAGATGGTTGCTTTATCAAGCTGCTCTTCAGCAAGTGGAACATCTCCTCCCGTGAAACGTACCCATCTCCATTAAGGTCGTATACCTCAAAGCAATCTGTCGTCCACAGGAGCATATGCATGTCATCAGTTAATTTCAGTTAGTGTGCATAATCCAAGTAAAAACATCCATGTTGGTTGATATACACTGTGTATTATTTGAAATATGTTCTTATGCAGTACAGCAAATGTCCAATAATTTGTAGTCCAATAATCCGTGCATCCCTGTATTTCACAGATCAATAATTGGTGGTTTGCATCTGTTCCCGTAACAAGTGGTACACCGGCGACAGATTGAAACGCTTAGTGGTCTGCAAACTGTGATCCGTTTAAGTGGGCAGGGTTAATGGAGAGTTGCAGAGATACAGCTGCAGGAAAAGGACTAAAGTAACACTTTTATTGTATTGTATTTTGCAATTCTTTTATTTTTTACTTACGTCGCAAAGCCTACCTCTGCTGACATAATTTTTTTATAAAAAACGATTTAAGCATTTTTTATTGTCTTGAATATTATATCTAAAAATGCCAAAAGAAATTGCTTCAACATACACTAACATACACCTATTGGTCCATATAAAAAAAAAAATCATATAATCTGCAAATGTATTGTGGATTAAGTTAGCCATAAGTGGTTTTCCACGTTTTCCCCCTGTAATCTGCAAACTTTTCACAGATTAATGGAATCACGTGGATAATTCCAACCAATTTCCATGGCGCACGGCGTCAGCAAAAACATTGATTCGTGGGTTATATAAGTTTAAGCTCACGAGGTGCACCAGATTATAGAAACTGCCATAGTGTCTGAAGAATGAAGCTACATCTGCAAGTTGGCCAAGAGATGGCAGAAATGCAATGGATTCATATATTGATGCACAGGAGCTTTTCATGTTATTCTCTCGTGTGTGGGGTTTCTCCGATTACTCTTGCCGCATGCCAAACACTCATTCATGAATTTTGCTAAATATCCCAATGCGGGACCTTCCTTCAAAAGTCTGCAGACTAGAGAGACTTTACTGGTTTAAATAAAAGGGCATTATAATGTGTGGGATGTTTATTTAGTGTTTAATAAAAAAAAAATTAAATGTGCCTCAATAATGCAGCTTATTAAATCCATTTGTGTCTTGTGTAGCCTTTTAAAAAGCAGTAGTAAGCAGTACAGAATATTAAAACAACTTCATATCTGTGTGAAGAGCATGTGCAGATGCACTGCAGTCACACAGAAACATCAATGAATGTGCTTACATTTCATCCTCTCCTCCAGCGTTCCACGTAAGAAGATTGCGAGTCCTTCTACCCACTCTTTGCTGCTGATGTAGCCATCGTTGTCCTTGTCGAACGCCCTAAAAACTTCAGTGAAACACATCATTGCAAAAATAAGTTCGTGGAAGACCAATGGCAATATGAAGGTTATGAGTTGAAATCATGGTCGTGGGTTATCTCGACTTAACATCCGTCTGGGTTTAATACATTTGGTACAATGTTGTGGGTAGTCAAATATGATCATTCCTGTGGAGGGATTGGTCCGTATCATGGAAATATTATTTTTATCAATCAGGTGGTCACTGGTGGAGATGAGCATCATGCTCATTTGAAAAGTGGGACACTTTTTGTTACTTAAATCAAGTATCGAAGATTAAATGTCTCCAACACGCATTACACTTTCTCATCAATGTGTTCCGATTTCCGTCTCTGAAGGTAGATTTTAAGCATGCATCTCTCCACGCTCCTTTGTGCACTTATCAGCGGATTATTATTTTTCCTCATCAGTATATGATGATTAAATATCCAATGTTTTGTAGTGTTTGAACAGTTGCAAGCCTGTGCTGCTGAGACTTAAAACACATCCACGCTAATCAATATAAATAAGCAGAAAATACACCTTCCCATATCAGTCCCTCCACGTGCAACACCTTATTTAACATCCCATCAGCGGCACGGCTTTCTTGAAGTGCGTAATTTCATCAGCACTGGCTCAACTCATCAAACTCCATATCGGTTTCACCATTCAGTGTACCGTCAGCCCTGAGGCTTGCTTCAACCAATGTTAACCAAAGAGGGGAGGGGGATGGTGGAAGCGTGACAGCGTTAGCCACCTCTATCCATGATCATGTCGTCCGTCATGTTGAACATGTTGTGCAGAATGCTCCTGAAGGGGTTTCGCTCCAGGCCGGCCCTGGGTCGTCTCTCCGTGAAGCTGGAGAGGAGCTTTGCGTAGAACCCCAGCAGATCCTCCACTTCCTTGCGGGTAACTGCACGCATTGCACACACATACACACACATGGGGACAGCAGAGAGCTCTCAGAGGGCAGCCTGATTGACGTCAGCGTTGCGAAGTGCGATTTTGTCACTAGATAGAGCGACTTTTTGGGTATTTCCTCGTGACAACATTGTGTAAAAGTGACGAGCAGTAGCGAGCGACTTTTACTGGAGGCAACAAATGCATAGGGGCCGTCCATAAATGACGTCACGCGATTTTGGACGATTTTTGATCCCCTCCCCCCCTCGTCACACGGCGTCACAAAAAGTCAGACCCCCCCCCCCACAAATATGACGTCACAAAGCTCTGCCCCCACCCCCCAAAAAATAAAACATGCTTCAAATCGCTTTAAACTACTGTCATTGCAGTGTGTATTTAATGTGGCGCTGCACTCTGATGTTGTTGGAGAAAACTATTATAAAAAAGTATATTTAATTAAGTAGAACGTGTTGTCTATATTTATTTAAAGTTGCGCATTTGAGGTGACGTCACATTTCTCAAACTCCCCCCCTCGTCACACGTCGTCACAATTGTCTGACCCCCCCCCCCCCAGGTGCGTGACGTCATTTATGGACGGCCCCATACCAGATTTAAGAGCGATTCCAGCTATGTTGTACAAAGCATCCCGTGTATGCGTTTTCATCAAGTAATACTTGCCATAACAGGCTTCAGCAGCAGAGCAAGCGCCTCGTAATCAGGTTATAAGTTCATACCTTGGTTAACTCAGCAGATCATCCCACTTGAGGGTAGATAAAATAGCTACCACTTTCTGCTTAGCGTAGTGAATAGTGGCTGTGCTATAGATTGGCCGACGCCATGGGAATGAGGAATATTCACTTCACTCCAAGGCCGCAATATTCTAATATGCTCAAAATGTCCCCCCCAATATATTGCTATAAAATTGATTTCTGTTTATATGATTGTGGTTATGGTTGTACTTTATTAATCTCTAATTTCTGCCATTACATACAATGAAACAAGAAAAGGTAAAAAAAAAAAGAAAAAAACAGAGCACTCTAATACACTATTAGACATTATTGTTAAAATAAATAAAAAGTCCATCCCATGTGTTAGTGAATTTTTTTATATTTTAGGCAGGAAATTCGTTTTAAAATTTAGATTTTTTTTCTGGGGGGGGGACCGCCAGACCCCCTGGAAGATTTTGTCCCCCCCAATGTTGACTCCATGGCTACGGCCTTGCTTCACTCTCATAAGAGAGTTCAAGTTAATTTATTTCAAGTTCATTTATTAGGTATTGCCCTGTGAGCCATTCGGCTCTTGAGAGGACGCCTCAGAGACGCGAGGAGGAACCACAGACGAGCGGGAAGGCAGCAGCAGCAGCAGCCACGCGGTGAGCCAGAACCACCAACAAGTGCCCGAGCTCTGCTGTCCTCTAAATGTGAATGCGTTAAGGGCCCATAAATGAGTGCGGGAGGAAACTTGGGCATTGGGGGAGAAAACCCGGACACATGCGATGAGGGGACAACACAGCACTACCCCGTACGGAGAGGACAGTCCACACTTTGTTTAACATTTTTGCGACCAATATCATCCAAAATAACGGGGGGTTTTTTGGGGGTTAAATCGCGTAAATATATAAATGTTGTGTCGTTAAAACCCGCCACCACCCGACACAGCCAACTAGTAAGGGTTGTCACGTAAACAGAACGTGGCCAATTCGTCACTAGTACAGCACACGGGTGTGTTGGAGAGCCAAGCCACAACATTTACAATCTGAGTACGACGTTTCGCCACTGACCCCCCCCCCCCCCCACGGGAAGAAGAGGGGGGGGGGATTTTGCAACAATCCGCGTCTGATCCACCAGCCCTGGCCGCTGCCTCCTCCACAGTGCGGGGTTTAGAGGCCACGCGCGTAGCGAGGAGGACATCGCTCAGACTCGGCTGCCGTGATCGTGATGCTGATCATTCAGTTTTACTGGTAGGAACCTCCTGGTTACACCAGCCCACAGGGGATTATTGTGTCCGTCCGTCGTGCATCCAAAAATGGGAGGGGTGGGACTGAGTGGAGAGAGGAGGGTGGAGAGGGGCTGGGTGGGGAGGGTGGGGAGGGGCTGGGTGGGGAGGGTGGGGCTGGGTGGGGGTGGGAGGGGTGGGGCTGGGTGGGGAGGGGCTGGTCACCCCGTGGTGCCCTTATAAAACTCAACGTTTAACCTACTCACGCCGGCTTGTGCCCGCCCTCACAGTCGGGCATATTTGCGGAATACACCACGCCGCCGTTGACCCTGGCCATTGACCGAGCAACCCAACGTTCCTACCAGCTCCCTCCGCAGGAATGTGTTTTAGTTTCATTTATTTGGTATAGCCCTGTGAGCCATTCGACTCTTGAATCTGGTGCAACCACAACAAACAAAAACATGAACAAGAAAACATCTTAAAGTGAACAAAAAAATCCAGGAAAAAACTGCAAAGTCTTCCAAAAAAAGCACCGTACACCAACGCTGTGTGCAAAAATCCCAGTGGGATGCAAGTCAAACAAGAACAACAACCACAAGACAACTTAGATTAAAGCCATCAGTCTAACTCCGTACTACAACAAACAAAACATGACCAAAGCAAAACACGTGTTCGAAATCACCAAAATAAAGCCACAAAAGCAATGAGACAGTGATCATAGGAACTGCCCGGATTTTCACAATAAACGACACAAACAACATGTACCACCAAGCCCTGATGATGATGATGGTGTCACTCACAGTGCTTGACGCGTTTACTCAGCGACTCGGCCAGCTCCTGCAGCTTCTTCCCACTCAACGCGGACGTTTGCGGCATCGCGGGGAGGAGGTGGGTGACGAGATGGGTGACGAGGTGGGTGACTAGCTGGGTGACGGGGTGAGTGACGAGGTGAGTGACGAGGTGGGTGACTAGCTGGATGACGAGGTGAGTGACGAGCTGGGTGACGAAGTGAGTGACTAGCTGAGTGACGAGGTGGATGACGAGGTGAGTGATGAGGTGGGTGACGAGGTGGGTGACTAGCTGGGTGACGGGGTGAGTGACGAGGTGAATGACGAGGTGGGTGACGAGGTGGGTGACGAGGTGAGTGACTAGCTGGGTGACGAGGTGAGTGACGAGGTGGGTGACCAGGTGGGTGTCGAGATGGGTGACAAGGTGGGTGACGGGGTGAGTGACCAGGTGGGTGACCAGGTGAGTGACGAGGTGGGTGACGAGGTGGGTGACGAGATGGGTGACGTGGTGGGTGACGAGATGAGTGACTAGCTGGGTGACGAGGTGGGTAACGAGATGGGTGACGGGGTGAGTGACGAGGTGACTAGCTGGGTGACGAGGTGAGTGACTAGCTGGGTGACGAGATGGGTGACTAGCTTGGTGACGAGTTGTGGGTGACGAGTTGTGGGTGTCCCGGACACGCGGGCGCCCAGTGTATTCTCGTCTCCCCGAGCGACCGAGCACGCCGCGCATGCGCACAGCGATTCACGAATCGAACAGTGGAGAGCGGCGAATCGATAATTTTCGATGTGGCGCGGATACTCAGTCAGAGCTACACGGTGGGACGACTGCGTGAGCAGACTTGGTGAACGTGACAGAGAGAGAAGGGGTGTGGGGGGGGAGGAAACGATAAACAATGCAAACGAGTGGGTCAATTTGAGACAATTTGTTCTTGAATCGATTTGCAACACGGAATCGTGACGAGTTCTAAATTCGTTTGGGGTCGTGGATCGCGTGTACCGCCTTGGGGCCGTCCATAAATGACGTCACGAGATTTTGGACGATTTTTGACCCCCCCCCCCGCTCGTCACACGGCGTCACAAAAAGTCAGACCCCCCCCCTCAAATATGACGTCACGAAGCTCTGCCCCCCCCCCCCCAAATAAAACATGCTTCGAATCGCTTTAAACTATTGTCATTGTAGTGCGTATTTAGTGTGGCGCTGCACTCTGATGTTGTAGGAGAAAACATAAAAAAGTCTATTTAATTAAGCAGAACGTGTTGTCGATATTTATTTAAAGTTGCGCATTTTGATTGTGACGTCACATTTCTCAACCCCCCCCCCCCCAGGTGCGTGACGTCATTTATGGACGGCCCCCTTCCAGTCGGGGCGGTGTTAACGGCGCGTCGAATAATCGATTAATATCGATTGCAATTTATCGATCACAATATCGATTGCGATAAAATACTCGCGTCGAACCCCGTGTATTGGTTTGTGTTCGTGTCTTATTTTTCGATTTAAAGCTTTCGTGACTGCAGGGATTCATCTTCTTGGTTCTTTCGGTAAAGTCACGTAGAAGGGAAGTAATAAAATAATAAAAATAAAACATAATAAAATAATTCTCACGACGTTTCGGCCACAACGCAAGCAGCCGTCCTCAGGTGAAGAACATGTCTGTCATTTAGACTCAGGTGAAGAACATGTCTGTCATTTAGACTCTGTCTTATCGACATACATGTTCTTCACCTGAGGACGGCTGCTTGCGTTGTGGCCGAAACGTCGTGAGAATGATTTTATTATGTTTTATTTTTATTATTTTATTACTTCCCTACTACGTGACTTTACCGAAAGAACCAAGAAGATGATTCGTGTCTTATGTTCACATGGTAAGACACACACACTGTGCAGTGCAGCAGATCGCATCGCGAACGCAATGCCTGCACTCTTGACACTCTTTGCACACGAGATGTTTCACATCTTAAGGGATTACTCCGGGTAAAATATTCGAATAAAGTTACAGAAGAATCACCGTGCGTCGATTATTGCAGCCAGCAGTGGATACACAGCGTGCTGACGTCACCACGCCGCCCACCCGCTCACGTTGCGTGCTGACGTCACCACGCCGCCCACCCGCTCACGTTGCGTGCTGACGTCACCACGCCGCTCACCCGCTCACGTTGCGTGCCGACGTCACCACGCAGCCCTCACACTTTCACACGGTGCATGCTCAGTCGGCCGGCTCACGAGAGGCGCGAACGGGTGGGGGGTGGGGGGCGGGGGCGGCAGCAGCAAACGGAAACCGGGGGGGCCGCGTGCGCGGTGCATGATCGCTCTCTCCGCGCACCGCCTTCGCCGCGTAACACGTGACGGCGTGCGCGAGCGCTGATTGGCCGTGGGCACCTTCGCGCAGGCGCGCTGGACGCGTTGGGGGCCGGGACCGGGCGGTGCGGCCGCGATGGCGGAAGACTCCGAGTCGGCGCTGAGCGCGCAGAGCCTCGAGCTCGAAGACCCCGACACGTGCGGCATCGACGGCGACAACGAGGACGAGGCCGAGCACGACGACGGGTACGGAGAGGATGTGGTGGCGGACGAGGGTGTGGGGGTGAAGGCGGCGTTGAGCGAGGGGTTGTGAGGGGGGTTGCGTGTGTGTGGGTCTGGGTGGCGGTGGTCGACCCTGCGCGACCTGAGGCCCAGGAGGAAGGAATGGGCGACTCGGCTTCGTCGGCTTCGTCGGAATCATCGGCGGTGTTTCGTTACGCGTCTGTTGTCTTTTCATTGAGTCGTGGTTGTACTTGGTCGTTCTTGCAGCCGGTACCGTCACACATCGGCAGCAGCAGCAGCAGCATTTCACCTCGTCATTATCATTACACCGCCGATTGTTGGACCTCATTGTAATAATTGCGTTGCGGTAGTATCAGGTCAAGCTCGTCACTATCATTGTTAATCGTCAAGTGTGACGATTATTGCGCGTTAGTCCTTGCTAATTACCTCAGATATCACACATTGTATTTACGCATTCGTAGCATTAACTCGCCATCGTCCCACCTCGTCACATTCGACGTGAAACACACCGCGCGATTATTGCACTTATCGTTACAAACATAACACCTAATCAATAACACCTCATCAATAGCACCGCTTCACATTAAACATCAGCGATCGTGAGACGAACACATCCCCATCATCTTCATTATCGCCATTAAACGTCTTATCCAGTTGCCAAAGTGTCACTCTTGTGGCCAGCTTGGGTTCTCGCCTGATTATAAATAAACCAAAACTATTACAATCTTACATACACCTCGTGAATTAGAATGTATTATCATTTATCTTAACCAGCGACATTACCGGCTCATCGTTAACCCCGTGATTTATTAACGTTGCCATTATCAAACAATTGTTCGCAGCGCTACAACCTCGTTGTCATAGTTAAACTCCGTCGTTTTAAAAATCAACATGAGGTTATTCATTCATCTTTAACACCCCCCGCCCCCCCCTCCTTAATTAATCGATCATTACTCGATCATTGGCACGAGTACAACCGGGACACGATGGTCGACTTCACGATCACAGAGGGCGCACGTGTTACAGTGATTGCTGATCTTCATAACCGTCGTCATTCAGTCATCATTCATCCGAGCTGTCATTAAAACCTCGTCACGCTTCAAGACGCCTCGTCCAAAGAGCATCTTCATCTAAACGTGGCGAAAAAGAGCGGCCAACTTCTCATCCGCCGTCGTCATCGTCGTCTTCACACATCAACATTACACATTTTGTCATTACGTATGATCAGCGTCGTCGTCTTCACCACCACCACCATCCCTTTTTTTATTTTAGTAAAGCCACGATTGTTGGTTGCGGGTCGTGGCGGTCTTTTTGGCCATGCGTCGTTCGCCACGTGGGTTTCAGACGAGCGGGCGGGAGGGAGCATAGAACGGACGTCCCGAGTACAGTACAATTTTTTTTAGTTTGCTGCATTGCCCCCCTCGTGTTCGTCACACGTCGTTCAACACGGCGATCTGAGACGCACACGGCTCGTCATCAATCGCCATCGTTAAACGCGATTGCACATCATAGGCCATACTTCGTCGTCCCACATCATCATCACACATCACACATCATCATCACATCATCATCAATCACATGTCAAGATGAGCGGGGAGGGGATTGCTCCTCGTTACGGTGATGACGATACACTTATCGTTTACATGTGTCGTCGTCGTCTTTATACTCGATGATCGCACCTCACCATTGCACACCACGTGCATCATCATGACAAATGTTAAGGGGACGGCCCCCGCATCATACCGAGCATCATGACACTTCGTTGTAATTGCACTATCGCCACACACACACAACGCTATCGCTGGGGGTTCCAAAGCAGGTGGGAGACAACTCTCACTCTCATTGCACCTCATCGCACATTCAACTTGGGCATTGTTAACCTCGTAATTACGCACCATTATTATTCATCTCATCACCGCCACAAACAAATACACTCCCCCCCCCCTTCACCGCGCGCATCCTCTCGTCATAATTACACAGACATTCCGTCACCAAATGCACGCCGGGTAATTACAACGTTTCGTTAAACATACACTCAAATCGCATAAACATGCCGATTGTTTTTTTTTCATCATCCCACAATAGAAGAACATCGTTATTACTCATCGCATGGCCAACTGAGTGGGGTCACGAGCAGTTGTTGGTCACACGTCATCACACCTCGTCATCATCGTTGACCTTGCCATTGCACGTGCACCTTGTTAAATCCCACACATCGGTGCGAAACATATAATGGATCACCTTCACACACCGTGCACACGTACAACCCTTTTTATCAGCCCGCTGCTGGGTGGGAGCCTCTTCCATTATTTAAGGGGAGTGATCTTCCCAAACTTAACTTCGTAAGTCAATGCGGGTTGGTGCAGGGCGTAGGAGCGTTGAAGTACAGTACAGTCAAACAATGACGTTTTCTCCATCGCCGTATGCTGCCCCCCATGGTATCCCTGCAGCAACAGCCTGTAACACCTGCCCATCCTCGCTATCCAAGCTCAACTCTGCTTAGTGTCATTTTTCTTGCACCTCCCAGTAGCATGGTTGGCTACGTACGGCGCGAAAGAAGTTCAACGTATATCGCAAGTTGTCTGTGCATTTGCGTCATAATTATACGTCACACGTCATCATTATACTTTATTACAGCTACAAATCATCAACCTACACTTGATCAGATCAATAACATAACCTGATCATCACATGTCATTATACCTCATTGTTGCGTATCATTTCACCATCTGTATCCTACACTCGTCATTCATCATCATCTTCCACTTCCTCCCCACCACCTATCTCACATCACTCTACACCTGAACGCACAACCCACTCCATATTCCTCTTCTACTTCCTACATTGTAACTCGCTCTCACCACACGTCGCCTTAAAAACTACCTCCTCATCTCCTCACTGCCATGTGCTTGACCCTATCCGAGGTGATTCACTTCCTGAACTCTCACGCTCACCTCTCTCCAGCTTGCCACGCTCGCCCTAACCCGTGCTGCGTGTTTATGCGTTAGGAGTCCCAGTGGGGATCCCGCTTCAGCAAAGAAGAAGAAAAAGAAGCAAAAGAGAAAAAAGGAAAAAGGACTTACGAAGTCCGACTCTGCTTCAGACTCGCAGGATGTAAAGGTAGATCCAAGACTTTTAGTCTTCTCTGCGGTTGTGCCACACTGACGTGCACTGGCGTGCT